CGAGGCCAGCACAGAGTTCTGCTCAGCTTCCTGCAGCCAGCTCTTCAGACAGGAGCAGAGTCCTCAGGCTTTCTTACTGCTTACTACCTAGTCACTGCTGAAGTCCCAAAGCGACAACGTTCACAGAATTTTGGATGAAAATGAAACAATGAAATGGATATCACAGCAAAAGGTGACCAACAGACCCCTAATACCTAAAAATAGAAAGGCATTCAGCAGAGACCCAGCATGCAAGATTTCTTACCTTTTCTTCCATTTCATGTCCTGTTCCAGGCAGATTCATCGTCCTCAATAAATCTGTAGTATCAAATGACTAGAAAACAAGATTACCACAGCCCAATATTAGCGTGTGAAAGATCTAATAAACCGATTCAAAGAATTTGTAGAATTGTGCAATTTAGATATGGAAAACGTATTTCACGTATTTCTTTATATTTAATGTATTTTTAACATTATTTTCTGTCACAGTAAAATCAATGGACAAAACACTTGTTTCCAAGTAGTATGCTCTTCTCTTTGTTGCTTTTTGAATCACTACTGTGAGTGAATACAGAGGTAGTTGCTCACACAAGTCACTATGTTAGAGGCAAAACACACTTCCCTCACAAGGTAACTAAATTAAAAGGCTTGGTAGGCTTTCAAGCACCTCTTTTATAAATTTCTTCTCCACCTGAGCTAGGACTGCTAGGACAAGGAGCCCCATCTCCTCCTTGTCAGGCGCTGCTGCTGCAAAGCCCAGTGAGATTCCTGCCATCTTTTCCCACAAAGCGGATGGGATCAATGCTGAGGCCCTGCAGAGGAGCAGCTGGACCTCACTATTTCTCAGGAGGGGATTTTAGGGCACAGCACCCATCACACCCAGGAGCAGTTACTGGTCATTATATCGTGGCAGTAGTTTACAGCCCAACAAATGCTGGGCTCCAGTTATGCCAGGTGCTGTGTGCACACACTGAAGGACGATCTTTCTTTCTAAACTGATCATTGACACAAAGCCTAAAAAGTCCCCTGTACAGGTAACTAAACCCAGAGCCCTAGCTCTGGGATCCCAGGCACTGCGGAAAATCAAAGGCCACAGTTGAAGGCATGAAACGCGTTGAAGGCCGACAGCACCTCACGGGCCTGGAGACCTCCTCGGAGCAGGCAGCGCCAGGGCCCGCGCGTCAACGCGCAGGAGCCACGAGGCAGCAGCAGAGGCACCAGGAGTTCAGCACCAGCACCAGGGCAGGCAGGGAGCG